ATACCCCCGTATGTACCTTTACCAGATATATGACAACGTTGAAGGGGCACATTTGAGACACAGACATTTAAGTTAGAATTTTTACGCTGGGTCCATGCCCCACTTTGGAATTTTTTTAATAGGTTGTTTTTTCCAATTACTTCACAAAGGCATACCATTTCCTAAAGAAGACACCCCAGGGTGTTTCAAAAGGCATATTTGAAACCTTAGCGTGGTATAATTTTTTCGCTAGCCTGTACCAAGTGTAGAGGTAATACGCATTTTCCCCCTTTTTAAAATTTTTTTTTACTTTTTAAAAGTTTTTTTAACTTTTAAAAAGTTTTATTTAGCTTTTAACAACTCATTTTACTTAATTTACTATTTTAAAACTTTGTTTAAACTTTTCAAAAGTTTTTTCACTTTAAATTTATTTATTTTTTACTTTTAACCCCTAACTAGCCTAACCGTAAATCCCCCAATTTCCCCACTAACGTCTACCCACCCTAGCTAAATAAATATTTTAAAATATTTAAATTAAATACATTTAACCCCTGAGAATTAAAAAAAATAAAAGTTAACCCTCAGGGGTTAAAAGAAATAAAATCAGATCACAGTGAAATACTGTGATCTGTATTTTGATCACTGCAGGCAGTGATCAAAGGGCAGGGAAGGGGTTAAATTTTATTTGAAAGAGGTGAGGAGGGGTGGGATTTTATTGCTAACACTTTTTTTTTTTACAGGGAGAGACAGATCAGCACTGATCTGTCTCTCTGCAGTTCACACGGAGCTGCAGGGAAACAGATCGGGTTTCACTGCAGCACGTGTGATCGCTCTGACTGCCGGTCAGAGCAATCACATGGGCTGAATCAGTGAAACTGCCCATGGTAGTGTGCCTCCGATATGGAGACACACTACAGTAAGATGTGGCAATCAGGGGTTAAATTTCATCTTGGACGGAAATTTCCGTCCAGCGTCCTTAAGGGGAGTGCTGCAATGACAGAAAATTTCCATCCAGCGTCCTTAAGGAGTTAAGAAACAGCAAACGCCACCCCTCTACTGCAGAGGCTCCTTTGGAGGTGACAACAGGAAAGCATACATTTGAGGAGAGTCGCTGGAAGCAGATTAAAGGACCACTATAGTGCCAGGAAAACATACTCGTTTTCCTGGCACTATAGTGCCCTGAGGGTGCCCCCACCCTCAGGGTCCCCCTCCCGCCCGGCTCTGGAAAGGGGTTAAAAACTTACCTTTCGCTTCTCTGCCTCCTCTCCTCCTCCGATCCTCCTCCTGGGCTGAATGCACACGCGCGGCAAGAGCTGCGCGCATTCAGCCCGTCGCATAGGAAAGCATTTACTTACCTATGGACGCTTGCATGCTCTCACTGTGAAAATCACAGTGAGAAGCAAGCGCTCTAGTGGCTGTCAATGAGACAGCCACTAGAGGAAATAGGGGAAGGCTTAACCCATTAATAAACATAGCAGTTTCTCTGAAACTTCTATGTTTATAAAAAAATGGGTTAACCCTAGAAGGACCTGGCACCCAGACCACTTCATGAAGCTGAAGTGGTCTGGGTGCCTAGAGTGGTCCTTTAAGCAGTAATTATTGCAGCTAGCATGTTAACTTCCTTAAACTAAACTTGACCAAAACTGAAATTCTGGTCTTTCCTCCCTTAAGTGTTGTTCCTCCTTTGTCTGTGTCCCTCCAAGTCAACGGTGCTACCATCAGCTACACCACGCAGGCTCGATGCCTAGGTGTTTTCTTTGACTCTGACCTCTCCTTCAAGCCTCATGTTCAATCTATCCCCAAATCCTGTCATTTCCATCTCAAAAACATTGCGCGCATCCGCCCCTACTTAACGCCAGATGCGACTAAGGTGTTGGTCCATTCCACTGTCCTTTCTCGCCTTGACTACTGTAATCCGCTTCTCAGTGGTCTTACGTGCTCTCAACTTGCGCCGTTACAGTCCATAATGAATGCCGCAGCGAGGCTCATCTTCCTGTCTGCCCGCACCTCCCATGCCTCACCCTTCTGTCAGTCCCTACATTGTCTTCCTATAAAATATAGAGCTCAATTTAAAATCCTGGTTCTTGCTTTCAAATCTCTACAAAATGCTGCTCCCACATATCTATCCTCCCTTATACACAATTATGTCCCGTCTAGGCCCTTACGATCTGCTGAAGACTTACGTCTATCTTCTGTCCGTACTCCCACCTCTGATGCTCGCCTTCAAGATTTCTCGAGGGCTGCACTGTTCCTGTGGAACTCGTTTCCCTCCTCCGTTAGATGCTCACCCAGTCTCCACTCCTTCAAAAAATCGTTAAAAACCCACTTCTTCATAAAAGTGTATCAATTAAACTATTAATAGCTCCTGACTGATTCCTCTTCTGCAACTGTCTCTAGTCTAATACTATCCTTACTTTTTTGTGTCATTTTACCCCACTCCCTCTAGCATGTAAGCTCATTGAGCAGGGCCCTCAACCCCTCTGTCCCTGTGTGTCCAACTTGTCTGGTTATAACTACATGTCTGTTCGTCCACCCATTGTAAAGCACTGCGGAATTTGATGGCGCCACATAAATACCATAATAATAATAATAATGTCCCATGTTAGGGGTATTGTGACATAGTGGTGGGCGATAGTTGATTTTAAGTAGTCTTGTTAAAAAAAAAATATAGCAAAAGGTACAAAGCATCACCGGATACTGTAAAAGGTACACAGGTCTCTGCTCAGTGAGGAATCCAATAGTTTAGTTTCAAAGATAAATCTAGAGTAGTTAAAAGAAGACCGAGAAACACTCAGTATTTATCACCATGTTAGAGGCAAAACACTAATGCACTTATTATAGTATTTATCATACCTTGGGAATGTACAGTCCATTGGAGGCATGTCACGATAGCACTCACCATAGGTATGATAGAAAAGCTTTGTTGGCACTCGCAGAAGGCAACATTTTTTTTGTGCCCCTGACATTGTTGCTTCACATGTGCCTACTGTGAGTGCTGGTAAACTTTTTAAATTTTACATGTGAGCACTGCCATGGCATGCTTTCATTAAAACAACTTTGCATTCTTATTGCATCCACGACTAGAATCTCCTTGCCAGGCATCTCCCTGAGAAAGTTTTGTTTGATATTTGGGCAAGCTGTAAGCCAGGTTAATTGTATATATTTGTTTAGTTATAATACCTCCAAGCCTTGGGAGGTAAAGATGTTGGGTGTGATGATGGATATGGAAAAAGTAGGTGCTCTGTCTGAGAAGGGAGGGTGGGAAAAATAAAAAATAAAAAATAAATGAATAAAAAGTAGAGCATCACATTAGATCAGGGATGGCAAACTTTGATAACACAGAATTAATTATTGCTTTCCTTGATTCTTACCTAGCCAGTCTTTAGGCACAACAATGGGGTGCCTTATTGGATAATGAGCTTGTATCAGTCGCCAAAAACTATGGGAGCAAGTAAGAAAAAGTTACAAAGAGTTTTAAAAAATTTAATAATGTCCATTTTCTGTTTGCTCCAATATTTTCCTTTATGCCACATTTTTTTCTGTTTTCGCACTTCCTCAGTTTTGTCCTGTATTTCTTTTCTTTGTTACTTTAAATAAGGCACTGTCACAGTGCAAAAAAGATGGAATAGTGCACCTTTTTTTAGGGGGAAAAAAATGCTACAGTCAGAGTGGCAGATTTTCGGAAACTGGCCTTCCTTTTTTATGAAATAAAAAATCCTTCAAATGGCGAATCAGTCTTTTCTTTTCCTTGTAATATTAATTATTTGCGTTATTTTGTGCATGTAATCAATGGCAAAATCATCAGGAATAAAAAGGAGCAAGACATCCAAAAGAGGAACAAAAAGTGGCTAAATATTTTGTCGCATTAGAGAAAAGGTGGAAGAAATGTCTCCAATGTATAACGGTGGAGTCACTGTTTTAAACATAAGAAAATAGAACATTCATACAAAACTGCAGCAAATAGAAAATAAATGTGAGAATTTTTATAGTCAATCCTCCATCTATGATCTTTCATTCAATTCTTAAACACAAATGAAAGAATAAAATATATATATATATATATATATATATATATATTTATTGGATCTGTGCATCAAAACCATACAAAAACCACTTATGGTGTCATACATATAAAAATCACCAAATCCTATAAAACAATTGGATGGAAGTCAAACAATATAGAGCCATAAATATACACTAGGCTGAAGTGGTTTTAATGATAGGATGCATAAAGGATATCCTCAACCTTCCTTGGAAATATACTAAGAGTGACTTCCCAAAGTGTAGCAGTTCTGCTGAAAAGGAAACACTCATAGTGTAATCCTATCATAATAAAAATAAACTGGATCGTAAACCAATAGGAGTAAGCTTAGACTTTAAAGATACTCAAAAAGGCTGCTCTAAACTATCAAAGTGATATAGATAACCAAAAGAGTCCTCTTGATCGTCCCTTGAGCAAAATAATACAAGTTGACCAGCGTTGGGTAAGACAATTTATTTATTAAACAAAAATAAAATATACAAACACTGTTAAAACTTCACCTTCTAGTCTTGCTCAGTTTGACAATGAATTGCAATCTTCCACTCCCTCTTTAAATATCCTCCCTCCCAATTTGTTATCAGTATGAAGTGGTAATCATACTTAGCCATAGTCAGATTCTCTTCATCTTGTGACTCTACTTGCCAGTCCCTTGTGCCTTCATGCAGCTTTGATACGTCACACTCGGATCATGATGCAATACCACCAGGAGCATCAGTATCAAAGAATGAAATTCTTCCAAAGGGTCCAACAATCTGGATGTTGGACTTCTGGACAAATGCTGAAAATCATAGGGGCAAAAGAGTGGCAGAAACAAAACAGAGTATAAAAAAATAAATATTCTACATAAATATGTCCATAATAAATTAAAACTCACATCACACGGTTCTTTATATCCATACGTATGCCACATATCAATATAAAGTCACTTCTGGAGTCCACAATATCCATAGAGACTTTACTTAACTTGCTCTGATATTCATGTCAATTCTCATGAAGTCTCTTTAATATGTATAACTTCTTGCAAATAATGATACTAATTAGTTTTGTTACATATACAACGTCTATTAAGTGGAATAAAAGTTAAAACATTTCCCAAGTGTGCAAGGAAATCAATTGTGCGTCAGGACTGTAACACAAAAATGTATATAATTTATAAAATATACGCCCATTTTAAATGCTATCAGGATCAGAGATAACTGCAACATATCCAATAAAAAAGTAAATATGAATAATAATATTATTAACTAAAAATACATAAAATATATCTATAAAAAGTGACAATTTTTAAACCACTATTTAAACCATGAGGAATAAGAGTATTAAATATAAATGTCATCCTCTCTTGCACCAATTTGCGAATAAAATCTCACCCTCTCCAATCACAATGTGTTAAATATCATAAAAGCTTAATCCATTCTAAACCATATATAATAATTAAAGGATTTGGTGCATTTTAATAAAACACAACCAGTTTAGTGAAAGTCCGAGGTTTATCTCACAAAGAAATGTGGAATGTTGAGCATTTGTCAGAACGTCAGTCTTTCATCACATTATGAGGTCATCTACTCAAGGGGAACAAAGAATATTGTTTTCTGCAACCTAGCTATTAATTCAACAACATAAAACATTTATACTACATAAAAGCTTGAATGTTTAATGCTTCTTTCCAAATAACACTTTGCACTCTAAAATTTAGGGTAATGTTTTCTTATGATATTCATATTAATCTAGAAAATATTATACAAAGTCAAAATGATAAAAAGCCCTTTCTCTCCGCAAAGTCTTCTCTTTAACTTAAACCAATTTTCCAAGTCACTTAAAGGCCTTTAAACAAAATGAAATCCTAACAATGTTGCCTCCATGCATAATTAATTGCACTTTTGCAATCTTCCAAACAAAATCCATCCTCATTAGGTTAGAGGATTTTTCCCAAGATGCCACAGGTTTTAATGAATGTTTTTGTGTTGTTTCTTGCTCAAGTTTTATATTTTCCTAGAGATCTATATCACAAGTCATTGCTTCTTGGACAAAAGCAACACGCACAATTAGACCAAATTCCAAAGGGTCTGTTCACTAAACAGTAGACTTTAGTGAAACTGAAAACCAGACTGCAACGTATAGGCCTTAGTAATAGAACTGAAAATATAGCTGGGTTTAAACATTTCTTTTGCTATCATTTAGGCGTAATATTTTTTTAGTTTATTATTTAGTGAATAAACTTCTTATTGCTTGTAAATGAATGTGCCAAAAACAATGTGAACATATCCTGCTCAAAATGTGATATAATGGCACTAAGGACTTTAGTGGAAAACCAAATTTGCAAAATGTATGAAGAAAATTTTCCATCTCAGTTTTTATGTCTTTTTTCTGCATAACTTACAACTTATTTTCTTAACCAAACTTGAAGTTAAAGTTAGAACCAGTTAGAATTTAAAAAGTTGTGACTTCCCAGTGGCTTGTCCACAAGGCAGTACTGCAGGGTGTTATGATTAAACTGGGCTCTAATGTGCACGACTCGATCGCGGCTCCTACAGGAACTAAGTGACATGGACTCCCAAAACAAAGGTGCCCCTTCTAAAGCTTTAAAGAAACGTATGTCCAAGATCAAAAAAGGAACTTGATACACTGGCGCTAAAACATACTGAAAAACACTTTAGAGCTTTTAAACGCACATACCATTTACATGGCTGGGAAGCTCTTGGCAAGAAAACTAAAATCCAACTTGATGGACGCAAGTCTCTTTTCAGCTATGTAACTATTTGACTTCCAGCAATTTAAAACTCCTTATTTTAACACAACAACAAATTCCAAGCTTTTTAACGTAGAAGAATTAGCATGGTATTATACTAACTTCTACAATTTAAGGAATGACAACACTTACACCAACAGCCCCTGGTAGAGATTGAAAAAATTCTTGGAGACATACAACTGCCCACCATTACACAAGTCCAATGCCAGTCCTTAGATGAACCGTTTACAGAAGAAGAGATTAGTGTAGCTATCCGAACTCTACCCAAGCGCAAAGCACTTGGACCTGATGGGTTATTAAATTACTACTATATTTTAATGAAATCTAGGTTGACAGCGCACCTTACGGCCCTCTTTAACCACATCAAATCCATGGACACTATTCCACCAGAAATGCTCAAAGCGCATATTGTTACTCTCCTTAAACCAGGGAAAGAACCAACAGAATGCACTAATTTAAGACCCATACCCTTCCTCAATGCATACAATTATATGAGAAACTGTTAACCACGTGCATCAAACCACTACTAATAGACCTGGTGTCAGAGGAAGAAGAGGGATTCGTACCTGGCAGACAAGTAGGTGACAATACCAGGCATTTCATCAACATGGTATATTGGTCACAAGCCACCCGGTAAAAAATAGAAAAAAAAGCATTCGACCGATTAAATTGGCCATACATGAGCAACACCCTACTCAAATTGGGATTTTTCCTTACATTTTTAAATAGCATCTTGGCTCTATAATCCAAGCCCATGGCTTCAATACAGGCTTCCTATCAAAATCCAAGATCTTCAATACAGGCTATCAAAATACTTTAAAAATACTAATGGCACACAGCAAGGCTGCAAATTCTTGCCAATTATTTTTGTTCTTAGTTTGGAACCATTAGTAAGACATATTAATCAAAACCCAGATATCAGCGGCCTAAAGACCCTGTGCGGAGAGCAAAACATACCGCTCTTCGTGGACTATATATTGTTGTTTTTGACTAATCTTAAAAAAAAATAATAAAAAAAAATAAAATTAAAAAAAAAAAAAATCGATCCCAGCACTAACAGTCCTATTACACAATTATGGAGAGGTTTCATACTATAAAGAAAATGCAAGCGTTTCCCATTGGAATTTCTGATAAGAACATACAGAACCTAAGACTTACCTATCCTTATGATTGGTTGCAAGTATCTCAACTATTTAGGCATAAAACTAACTAAATCACAATCACTTTTGCTTAAGGAAAGTCATGTGGCTCTTCTACATAAACTGGTGGGTCTGATGAACAAATGGGGGGACCTGTGGATGTCGTGGTTGGGTTGTGTGCACTCCATTCAAATGATTATTTTGCCCCATGTCCTTTATCTCTTCCGCACTATACCTATAGCTGTGCCAACTACAATGATAAAACATTTTCAATGTCTTATAAATGCTCATGTCTGGAAGGAAAAAAACACCAAGGGTAGCGAACAGACTACTGTGGCTTCCATTTACTAGAGCAGTTCTGGGGGATACCTAGAATTTATGCTCCCTGCTATGGAATTATTTACATATTTGCAAATCAAAAATGTCTTACAAACACATAACTACACTGGTCCTCACACAGATAACCTCCCTAGGTTGAATTGCATGAATACCGGTCCAAAGCTTAAGTCCCTCTCTGTATGATATAATGCCTTTAATTACCCTTCTCCCAAAGAAAAGTTACCCTGTATGCAACTATGGGAAAGGGATTTGGGTAATTCCCTTCCCATAACCCTTTGGTTTAAAGCAATGAAAATGACAAAGCGATCCTCCAGTAGCATTTCCCACTGGGAGGCCTACTGTAAGTTGGTTATGAAATGGTACTTAATACTTTCCAGACTATCGCACATCTATGCAAACTCATCACTGGTATGCTAGAGGTGTCTCTGGGATAGGGGTTCCTTAGGGCATGTGTTCTGGGCTTGGTCCTCGAATCTTGTTGGGAGCAATTAAGAGAGGTGATTGCACAATCCTGCCTCTTAAACCTAAAATCTATCTATTACACATATTTTGCACATGCTGAGTGGGAACTGAGGAACACACTTGGCATTAATGTACAAATTATTTAATTATCAGTTTAATGTTGTAATATTGTTCTCAAAAACTGTACCCAAACGCTATATAGCTGGAGGCACAGATTGTTTAATTTTGTATTTAAGTTAGTTAGGCTTTAAAAATACTGCATAAACTGATGAGGAAACAGTCTGTGAAAATGTGTTTAAATGTGCTATATAATGCCTGCAGTAAGTTCTCCTAACTATTTTTTTTTTTTTGTAAATTTCTTTTATTCAAGGAATTTTATGCAGAAAGAGAGAGAAGAAAAAAAAAAAAACACATTGTCGCGGACACGCAGGTCCAATAAAGGCTTTCCCAGTTCATGTCTCAGACATGAGATAGTTATTGTGAACGACATAGTGACATGCAAGTCATCAACCAGTTTAAAGACGTATACTAGTTGGGCTCATGGGTCCTATAAACCTTTGTGTGGATGGGGTTTTCCCTCTCTCGTACGGTTGTTGTGGCTATAGTATATCACCCAGTGTGACAAAGGTGGTTGATGTCTTGTGTCTAGGCAGGTGGTGTGTTTTGACCAACCGTATGGGGGAGAAATCGGGTGTTGTGTGTGCCTTGCGCATTCAGTTCTCAGATCTTTGGTGACAGTGGGGTATACCCCTGTTGATCTGGCTGGGGTGGCGGTGGTTTGTACCGTCTTTAACTCCCGCCTTTGGCGTGAGTGCAAAGTTAGGCTTGTTTCTCCTTGTCTTATCCTTAACTGTGAACCCCTGTCCCTTTTCCTGTTTTTCTTGTCTGCTTCTCTTTGTCTCCTTCATTCTGGACTTCCTTACACCTTTCCCTTTCCTTTCCCTTCCTTCTTTTTCTCTCTTTTTGCTCTTGGCTTTCCCCTTCTTGTTCTTTTCCTTCCCCCTTTGCTACCCTTATCTTCCCCCTCTCTTCCCTTCTTTGCTTAGGGGGTGCCCCTCCGTCTAGAGCCTCTATGTCTTATGAACTTCTGTACTTTATCGCCTTCCCGTCCGCGGGTTCCCCCAGGGGGGGCCAGTGGGAGGCGGGGGGGGATTGGGGGAGGGAGAGGGGGAGGGGGTGTTTTATTTATTATGATGTTGATTCTGGTGATTTCCCTGTTTGTTTGTGTAGTCACTCCCTCCGTCAAGGTGGTCGTTTGTCTCTTCAGGTGTCTGCAGTCATGTCAGCAGGTCCTGGAAGTCAGCGTTAGTCGAGGTCAGTATCCAGTGTGTCCAGATCGTCATGTACGTCTGGGTCCTCCCCTCTGCCAGCAGGGAGAGCTCTTCCAGAGCTCTCAGCTCCTCCATTTTTTGGTACCACGTCCCCAGCGGGGGCGCGCATTGTTTTTTCCAGTAGAGGGGGATTAGGCTTTTGGCTACATTAAGTATCCGTATTGTTAAGGATTTTTTATATG